TTTCTTTCAGTCAGGAATGTAAAACATTCTTAAACTAAATGTACAAACAATCTCAACCTGATTGTTCTAAATATAATCTCATAAATATAACTTAATACCTCAATGAAAACTTACTTGGGAAATATTTAAACTTAATTTCCTCATATTTAATGTGAGGTAATATATTTGATAAATATATTTGCCCACTATTTGCCCACTTCTTCCCTTATCCTATAATTATATACATAGTTTTGATATAACTTAATGTATTATAAAAATACATAAGAACTTAATATGTACTTATTTATTATAATGTGAACCCAAAGTCTTATTTAATCATTCATATACTCAGATTCTATTTTAGCTTTAAAATAAAATGTAAAAATCAGTGATTAAAATAATTACTTTAAAAATAGCACAAGATTGTTATGTGAAGAATATCTACTACTACTTGGATTTGAAAGTTTTAAGATGTAAACTTTATAGATAAATGTAGCATTAATAAAAATGTAAATTATTGCTCTGTTTGAAATATAATATATAACACAAACACATTCCAATTTTTTTCCTTTATTTCCTTTATTCATTTGATGAACCATTCCCTTTTTATAACAAATAGAATTATTTTAGGTTTCAGTTAGGGTTAAAATAAATACAAATGTTTTCATTTATGTGTAGACTAATTTATAATAACTTTAAAAAAAATTAGATATCCCATTATTCCAATATAGTACTTTTCTATATTACATGAAACATGATGAACTTTCAAAAATTAAAAATGTATGAGATTAATACAATTAACATTTCAGTAATAAATAAAATAAAGCACAAATAACCTTTGAAATATAGAACAAATTAATCAGGAGGATAACTTTATTATTAATATAGAGGAAAATAATTACTTACAAGCAAAATTCACATATTAAATAGTGTCGCAGGGCTACATGTCAATTTCCAAAATAAGAAAGTGATCACAGAGAAAACAGTTTAATATAAAGGCATATTATATCTTGATATATATATGATATATCGTCCCCTTATCAGATTATATAATTTGCAAATATTTTTTCACATTCTGTATGTTGCATCTTCACTCCATTGATGGTTTCTTTTGTTGTGCAGAAGCTTTTGAGTTTGATTTAATCCCATTGGCCTATTATTACTTTTGTTTCCTGTGCCTTGGGGATCTTTTCTAAAAATAGTCACTGCCCATTCCAATGTCCTATTGTAATGGCATTTCCTCTGTTTTCTTCTAGTAATTTTATAATTTCAAGTCTTACATTGCCAAAGGCCAATGTCTCGGCTTGGCACCAGAATCACGAGGCGCTCACAGCTTTGTAGGTTCAAACAGCAATTCTTTATTCCAGCTCTCACACCGCCTCCACACAGGTCCAGGGGCAATCGCGTTCTGCCGTCTCCCGCACAATTCACCTACTCCACGAGGCTCTCTCCAAATCCCATTTTAATCTCACGAGAACTCAACGGGAACAAGCAGCAGGAACACCCTAATCCCAGCAATAATCTTCAACTTCCAACTTCCCTGAAACCCATTATCTTAAACTGGCAACGCCTTAAACTCAAGGAGCCGGTTACTTCCTCAAACCTGATCAGCTCTAAACCTGGATCCGCCTTGGTCCTTGAGCAAGGTCACCTTATTAAAGCATGCATGCAATGTCCCATCGAATGTCCTCTAAGCAGCATGGGGTACGCTTGGCAAGGAAATTTCGATGCGTCATTCCTACTTGGTAATGGCCCTCAGCATTACATAAAAGTATAACCTATTTTTTAGTTTATATCTATCTATCTATCTATCTATCTATCTATCTATCTATCTATCTATGGGGATTGAACTCAGAGGAGCTCTATCACCAAGCCACATTCTCATCCCTATTTTGTAATTTGAGACAGGGTCTTAATAAGTTGCTTAACTCCACACTTTTGTTGAGGCTGGCTTTGAACTTGCAGTCCTCCTGTCTTAGCCTCCTGAGCTACTGGGATTACAGGTGTGCAACACCAGCCTGGCCTCTAGTTTATTTTTGTAACTAGTGGGGGATAGGGACCAAGGTTCAGTCTTTTACATGTGAGTATACAATTTCCCTGCCCCATTTATTGAAACAATGGGCCTTTCTCTCAGGGTATGTTCTTAGCTTCTCTGTCAAAAATGAATTGGTTGTAGATGCATAGATTTACTTCTAGACTCTAGCTTAAAAAATATCATTTTATGTTAAGCTACAGTTTCTAGTGTAATGTGGTGAATTTATTTGATATCTAAGAAAATGATTTCTTATGTCCTCTTATAACAAAAGTAGGCTATAGTAAGTGAAAATTCAATATTACAAATTTTATTTTGTAATAATTTAATTAATTAAACAATTAAATTAAACAATTAATAGTCATATGTATCACACTTATATGTATCACACTTCTTTATTAAATGTATCACATTAAAATATTTTCACTTATCTTAGGGCAAAAGAAAGTAAAATATATCAATTATCTTGCAGAAGCAAAACAATTGTTAGTCTGTCCTGTATCACAAATCTTAATTGACTTGTCAAGGAACGGAAAAAGGTCATGTTTAAGGTTAGGCAGACGGCTTTGCTTTGATTGATCACAAGCAGAGTTAAGTTGATCCTTCCAGACATATTCAAGGGGAAGTTTGTTTTCTCACGCTTCTGAAAACACTAGCCTTTGAGCACTGGGTTGTCATTGTCCATACTACTAATGTCATGCGAGGTAGTGCCTGCCCTGCTGTGCCACCCTCTGTTACCCAGGGCAAGGTAAGGTGAATCTAGGTCAGATTAATACATACAAGCGGAGCTTCTTGAAAAACCGAGAGAGTCCGCCTTCTAGGAAGTAAATAGTGACTGCCTATGGACCCAACTCCTCCGTCTCTAAACGCTCCCCTCTAAAGTTTGTAGCTCTGGTTGCAAAAGGCAACTTGCGGGACAATCCTGGGGGTTCTGGCTGCAGTTCCCAGAGCGCCCAGGAGCATAAGGAGGCGCCCTCTGCCCGTGTTTGGCTGCCCCTCCCGCCTAGTGTGCCTGGCTTGCAATAGGATAGAAAATCCGTGTTCGACCAGCACGTTTTAACTCTGCAAACCACAGAAGACCCAACCGAAACATTTGCTTCCAGATTCAGGGCATTTGCGCTTTAGGACGGCGCTTCTCTGTCCGGGTTTAGGCGAAGAAGATTGTCGGGTGCAAAAGGTGCGCAGAGGCTGGAGGCGCCTGGGCTTCCCTGTCAGGCAGCTTCCAGCTAGTGCCGGCACCAGGCTGGTGGGAAACGCAGCAGAGGGCGAGTCCCTTCTTTCATGGTTTTGGATCAGAGCCACCCTGGGGGTAAAAGTGAGGGGGCTACATTTCCTGGTGAAAAACCACCCAAGAGCCTTTTGGAGCATTGTTCCTACTTTGGGAAAGCGGGTCAACAGCTCAAAACCGACTCGGGTTTCCTTCCCTGGAGGCTTGGCTTGCGGGCGAGCGCGGTGCTGACCTAACCCGGCACCGCGGTTTTTCCACGCCCAGAGGGCCCTTCTCCACCCTCGGTGCAAAAGGCGCCGCGCGGTCAGGCAGTAGATCCAGTGAGAGGAACGAGTCCCCAAGGGGTGGGGGTGCCACCTTCCTCCCAAAGCCTCCTGATAATCAACTACAGACCAGCTTCCTGGGTGTAGGTCACGTAATATGTTCGGGGCAGAAAAGGGATTCTAGCAGAATGCCTTCAGCTATTGCTTGCGTAGCGCTAGAGTAGGCGCATCCGGGTTCCCACCCAGGCTTCCAACACACTCTGGCTCAGCACCCAGACTCTTTCAAGAATAAAATCGGTAAGATTCTCTTGACAACCTTCGCTCGTGTCTGTCAAGAGCAATGTTCTCTGAAGTCACTGGCCATCAGAAAAGCCTCCATCTCCCATCTCGGAGATTGGGAGTAGGGTGATTGCTGTAGGGGATCCAATGAAATCCAGCAAGCATTGATCTTCACTGCTCTGACAATCCAAAAGCATTTAGAAGGAGTGCTGGATTTGCATGATAGGAAACCTTCTAGTGGGTTTGGGAGTGTAGTTGTCAACAAAACAAATTAACATTGCCCCCCGATAGAGTTTCAGTAGAAACTTGTTTATGTAATGAAAAATTAAAGTTGATTTATATTATTAATGCATTTTTTAAAGCCTTCCAATGTTCTGCTCCCTTCCCCACTGCCAGCGTCTTTTGGGGTGTAGTCGCTACAAAGAGTAACAATACTGTCACGGTTGTCAGTTTCTAAAGTTTCCAACGCCTTTACAGCAATGCCTCTCCACAAAGTTTGATCAGATCCTCCCTCTAGCTGAGGGTCAGTAAGAGTGGAAACTCTAGAAGTAACGCATAAAATGACTCCCAGGTGAGTATCCTGAAAAGATTACTTAGGGAGTCGACCAGTATTTGAAGGTTCTCAATGAACAACCTTTGCTAACCCACAAAAGTAAATGCGCACTCATCCTCGCGCAGAGTTAAGAATAATTTCCCGTGGGCGACCACTAGAGGGAGGGTCGCTAGATGTTAGTACCAGATGGGATAAATATGGAGCCTGCTATCTGATGGAATTTGCCTTTAAGTCACATTTAAAAATCTTCAATGAGGGCGATCAAGGTGACTATAGTCAGGTTGGAGGTACAGGGCGCTGGGGTGGGGGGCTTTAATTGTACCTGCCTGCGGTTGGCACTTACAGATTCCTTTTGTCTTGAGATGCTGCATTCCGTTATGGCTTCTTCACTACTTTCTACCAGTCTCAAATTGGGCAGCACAGAGCTATGGATCCTATTAAGTGGCTCAGGTGGTAATTTCTTTTTCTTGAAGGGAATGTGTAGGAAAGTACCGCGGAAATGGGAATTCTGCTTTCTGAATTACCTATCCAGCTGTTTCGTCTGATTTTGTAGCTGTAAAAACACAGCTGATATATCATTGGGCTAGCAAAAATGTGCAATTGGTTGGAAATAGAATTGGTCATTTCTTACAGGGGAAAAAAATCCAAAATCTTCTTTTTTTTTATTTCTGAGTTTGAGAGTTTGATTTCTCAACGCCAACTTGGAAATTGTTACAAAACCTTAGAAAATAACCCTTGGAGTATTACGTTAAGAGATATTACTTCGCTGTGCAAAGGCACTTAAATTACTACTAGCTTTCTGAATATGAAATTACCTTAGGGAAATAAAAGATAAGGGCCATCTGAACACATGAATACTTTCACTTATTGTGACTCTGAATTTGGAAATGGGCAGTGGGGGTAAGGGAAGATTATTATCGTCATTGAAAATATTCAGATTGGAAAGTCTGTGTCTCAGTGGATTTCACTAACTTTGCTAAATGAATCAGACTGATGACTCAAACAAGAGCGAAAAGGGAAAGTGATTTCCGTGAAAACCAAGTGTTGAGCGTCTTGTCTTGGTGACCCAATACTGGGTGCGCGCGCGCAGAGTGGCCAGACCTTCTCCACGCAGCTCTGGCTCTGTACAATTCCGCAAGCGCACCCAAGGCAGAAATGCCACCAGTATACCGCTTCAGATGATGGGCTTGGGTGTTCAGCATTACACAGCGCCACCAGCGCTTCTTTTTTTCTCTCCGAAGTCAGACACTCTCAACAGCACCAGCAGCAGATAGCCCTATGTGCGCTACAACTGGTGGGGCGGGGAGACCTGGCGCTCAACCCGCCAGCACGGCTGGTGCTGACGTCCATTCAGGCCTTTAAATGTGTGTCTCCCTACGCAGGAGAGAACAGACTTTGTAGCAGTCACTTTGCCCGAAGGGAGACGCGTCAAGCGACAGCTCTGACTCCCCGCTCTCTTCCTGGAGCTGCGTTTATCTCTGTCCTCTTTGCACCAAGTCCCTGCCAGCCACTCCAGCAAGAGGCGCATTTGGTACAAGCACCTCAAGCGTGAACCAACAGGACTCCCCATGCCCCGTGCTTTTCCGATGGACTTGAAGATGAAAGATTGCGAGGTGTGCCCGGAGATCGCTCCAGGAGCAGGGAGCATCTTCTAGATTTTGGTGTGTGTGTATTTGGGGGCGGGGGGCGTGCGGTTCTCAAAACTGGTGAAAGCGTCCTCTGAGCATCCGCATCTGCAACTTGTTTTGGTTTCTTCTCACTCGTGTATGTGCGGTTACAACATCAAAGTTTTTCTCCTTTACGAGCAAAAAAATGTCATTTTAATTATCCTCCCCCCTGCCCCCCCCCCCCCCCCCCCCCCCCCCCCCTGCGCTGTCTCTGCCAGGCCTTCTAGCTGGGCGGTGAGTAGATAGCGGGGCGCGCAGTGTGGCAGCGGCAGCGGAGATTGGCGCGGTCAGAAGCAGCGGAAGGGAAGAAGCTGCTGCTGGGGACTCCCTGGGTGACCCTTTGCCAAGCAAAAGAGCCAGAACCTTCCGGGACGCTGGTGCCTGCACACTGGATTTTAAACACCATCCTGGTTGTGAGACTCTGTCCCTTTTTCTCAATTGGTAACTAGTGGAGAGCGAAGCGCTTGGCAGGAGCGCTCTGCGGGACCTAACCTCCTGGCTGCTTGGGATCTGTGCGTCCGCTGCTGCGGAAGGAGCGAAGTGGAGGACGCCAGCCGTTGCTTACTGGAGCCTGGAGGTAGGCAAGGGGGTGGGATCCTGATTCTCCTGCTGAGCCCAGATTCCAAAACGGTGTCTGGTTTCATGGAGACAAGACTGTCTTCTCACCCTCATTTTCCTTCTCACCCCCACCCTTTTTGGATTCAGGCTCAGGAATAACCAAATCCACTGCACCAGCAAGGTGGATTACCTCCACCACTCACCTCCTGAATGCCTGGCTTCTTCCGTATTTAGTCGTGGTGTTGGGGGAATGTGAGTTTCCTAGGGAAGTTGTTGCTTTACAGAATTTGAAAATGTCCAAGTTGATTGTATTCAGTTTCTTAAAGGATGTTTCCTGTGGGCAAGAATTATGGGAAATAAATGTCAGTGTCACAGACAGCTGCAATAACAGCTCAGAAATCTTTATTTTCATCCAAAAGTTTTCCCCATGCAAGTTTTCTCAATGTCCAGATGGAGTCAATGGAGACTTGGCTTGTTCCATTATATTTGAACGGGAGGGGAATCTTGTCCTTCTACTTTAAAGTAAAGTATAATATCAAGGACATTGTAGTTTCTTCTCCACCCCCCTCCCCGCCCCATTAACTACTGTGACTGTTGAAAGGAAGGCTTTTTACAGTGTGCAGTGACGATGAAGTATTTTCTTTTTCCATACTTGCCTGAAGTTTTTATTTAAATATATGACCCTTTTTAGTTGAGAAACAATTTTGGGGTAAGACTGAACTAAATATTTTTTAATGCAATTCAGCAAGTAAGAGTTTGTATATGGTATGTGGTAAATAGAATGTGTAATTGATTCCTACTCTTGCAATTTAGCTAATATAAGGATTACATGAAATGATAGAAACAACTATTGAATTTTGGCAAACTTTCTTTTATAACTGTGGGGAAATTTTAAAAATCAATATTAAAGCTTGGTAAAACTTGGGTATCAAGGATATGAAGGTACTGGTACTGAGGAAAACAGAGGCAAGTTAACTTTAACAGGGTGGTTTATTGAAAAATAGTGCTTGGGATTTCATAGCTACATATGGTAATCAGTGAAATAAATGAACCAGTTAGTATTCTGAGCTTGCAATATTTGGCTCCATAGAGAGACTGCTGTTACATTTCATTTCCACTCTCATTTGTGGGAATAAAATAATGTGAGGTGGATTTATCCACTTCCTCACACTCTTATGCTATAGATTTCAGGATTCGCTCAAAAGCAGAGGGAGACAGGGACCAATATCTGACTCCATTAAACAACATCATCTTTCCTCTACAAAAGACCTTCACATATATTGGAAGTACCAGAATACGGAACTACCCCACCCTCACTTTTTTCTCTTAACTCCTGTGCACTTGTAGCTTCCAATTTGGCCCTAAATCTCTCTGCAATAGGCCTTTTTACTCATGTGTTTTCCCCCACAGGGCAGCTCAGAATTAGGGTTACTCTGAATTGAAATAACACTTTGACATGTACTTTGAGGAGTTGTTGGGTAGAAACCATGTATGCCCAGGCTCCTTGCTGAGCCAGATGTGTGGGGCACCTGAGAGGATTAGGGCCCCACTGAATACAACTGAAGTGACAGGCAGTCATACTTAGGAACAGGAACTGTAGTACTTAGTGAGAATTAGGTTACAATAGAAGGGAAGGAAAAATGAAATAAAAAAAATGTAGAGGTTTCTGTATTATCTTTAGCAGAAATCAGCCTTATCTTAGATCTGCATGAGCAGGTTTATCTCAAAGGGCAGATTCTTTGCTTGGTAAATGCTTCAAAAAGACTTGAGAATCCCAAGAAAATAAACAAATCTCATTTGCAGTTATTGACTTTCAAACAAACTATGTAGTCAGGGTATAGAATAGTTTTTCTCAAAATTTAGTGCCTGAGGACGGGTTACAATTGCAATTTGTAATCCCCAATACAGAGAAACTGGTTCAGGAGGGTCCAGTTAACTAACTATATATTTAGCACCATGGCTGATTCCAATTCTTCTACTTCAAGACTCATCCTGTGAAAATTATAGGCTTGGTGTTAACGAACTTGCTTCAGAGAGGGAATGTGTCATAGTAGCATGTTCATCTGAAAACTTTGCCTGGTATTTGTCATCGTCTTAAATTTTTCTATTTTTTCTTTGTCAATGACATTATATTGTCATGTCTGACCTGTTAGGTGATGACTATTCTCAAATACTAATCTATCGATCTATCATTTGTATATTTGCAACCCTGGATGGTGGCTATTTGAGGTTAAAACTGGATGACAGTGATAGTACTGAGGTGATGGAAAGGCTTTACCATTGTTGAGATCTTAGGTTGAAAACAAAAGAAAGAAATCAATGTAGTGATGGGTTTGGTTAGGTGATAACTTGAAGTATATATTGTGATGATTACTTTCTCACTAGAGGAATAACTGTTTTTATATGTTCACCTTTTTATTTCACATACTTACTTATTTATCTTTTTTCTTCATTATGCAAAACAGTTCAGGTAGCTTCCATGAAAGTATAGAAAGAGAAAATAAACCTGAAAAAACCCTACAACTGATTTTTTTCTAGTGAACATCTTAATTTTCATTTATAAAACTTCCCAAAGGTTAACATAAAAGTGAGGGAATTAATTGATGAAATTGTAAACCCAATGGTGAGATTGGTCATGTCTTTGGTCTTTTTTGAAAGTGACATCTCTTTGAAATTAATTATTTCTTCTACTCTTCACAGGCAAGGGAAGTTGGTCATATTACCATGGTTTTCAATCCTTGTGGTAGTCATAGACACTGTGGTATCAGAGTTCTCATTTATTTCTTTAAGACTATTTTCTTATGCAATGCTATTTGGACAGAACATGTTTTTCAGTTGTAAGTATTTTGAGTTTTAAAAAAAGTTTATACAATAACTGTTCAGCATCACATTTGAGTAGGGTAAAGAGATACTGTATTTTCTACAAGCAAAACAAAACATTTTAATCAACTGGCTTTCCCCAGGCCACCTTATGTTCTATCAAATTGTTATTTGTCTTTTATTTTAAACTATGTGTATGTTAATTTTTTTTTTAAAAAAAAGGCAACTTGCATGCTTTAATGAAAAATGTTTTCAATAGTAACACCACAGATTAAGGTGAATTACAAGGTTATTTTTGAGTTTTTTTTGTTTGTTGAACTTCCAGTAATCTCTTCAGATTTTGGTTGTTGGCATTCTTAAGAATTTGGAGACCTGTGCAAGAAATTACAAAACTAAATCTCAGCAAAGTAATCTAAGTCAAAGAGAGGTATGATTTTGCTTCATATTAACAACAAATCATATGTTATGATTGATATAAGGAGTTTGAAATATAATACCACAGCATCCAAGATTTTTGCAGTAGTTTAAAAGGTTTTTCTTTTTTAAATTAACGACACCACTGATGGCAAACACCATTCATTTCTAAATATACAAAAAGTATACAGAATTTTGTTTTGGAGTTTTAGAAATTCCTTTTTCTATCACATAGCCCCTCTCCCCCAGGGGTGAAAGAGTAGGCCACATGGTGGTGCTATTGGGATGCATAATATTTTGAATAATTCTACCATTTAAACCATTTTTAGTTACAACTATACCAATGGAAACATGGAGTTTTCTCTAATGATAGATTTTCTCACAGTATCCCTCAATTAAAAAAACAAACAAACAATAGATATCCATTAAAAGTCTTCATTGCCCATTATTGATGAGGACTTCCTTTAAAAATATAATTCCTCAATCTCTGTCCAAGAAGACCTCGTATCAGTGACTCCTATCTTTTCTTCCCCCTCTCTCTTTCCTGTGTTCTGATATAAATCACATCATATTTAAAGAAGATATGATTTTCTAAATGTTTTAACATACATCAGAAATATTTTTTTTCATTACAATGTTGTATGTTTTCTCATTTTTGTCCTAAATTCATAAAATCAGAATGGTTTCTCATACACTATCTGAATGTGTGTTTACATTGAATACATCCATGCTACCTGACAAAAGAAAAATCCATTCACACTTACAGTCAGGGATCTAATGGGTTCTTTAATGGGGTATTGCTTTGCATTTTGAAAGAGGACCACTAGAAAAGAACAAATTTTAACACCTTTCTTACAAAGGTTTTCAGGTCCTTATGCAAAAACTATTACAACCCACATCACAAAACACAGGCACTTCTGTGTAAGGTCAATTTGTCAACCTGAATGAAATCTACTGGTTTGATAGCTCATGTCTAAAGTGCCAAAGTTTACCCAAAGTGTTTTTGTATAAACAGGAGACAAATCAGATTTAAAAAAGAGACGAGGACATTAACAGTAAAAACTCCAGGGAACAGGAGGTGAAATCCAGGGACTAGAAAGACATTATAAAGATGACCCAAATGATAGATCCTCATCCTTTTTTGGCTTGGCATTTGGCCAGGTTTTTTCAGTAGATGCAGACTGGAAGAGAGTTCTGTAGTAAAAAGAATAAACCCCAAAGAGAGACGAAATCATAATATCTGTATTTTCTTTGAGAGTTTGGGGGAGGATGTTTATGCCCATCTCTTTCCCAAGGTAGTTCTTCTGACAATTAGAAAAATTGTTTATATGATACAAACTTAAAAGTTTTGTTTATGATGAAAAGTGATTACTTTCTTTGATTCTTAAAACTGTAATGTAGTTGTCTTCTAAGAAGTACGTCTCCTTGTTTAATTTTTAGCAAAATCTCTGCAATTGGCCAATCATGTTATTTAAATAAAATGCCTTAAAATTTATGAAAAATAAACTCTTACGCATAGATGCTTCTGGACCCTCTCATGCAACTCCATAAAATACAGTGAAAAAGACATATTGGCTCATGTTTTTAAGATGATTCAAACATTAGAAATGACTTATATAACTTTAGGTGTTTCCTGCCATTCTTACATTTGTTGTTTGTGAACCAACCACTTAAATCCTCACCTCTTTGGCACTAAATTTCTTTCAGGAGTGAAGCATAGAAGAAAAAGGAAGTATAACTATTGGTTTTGACTTGATACTTTGATCTATGACTGATATAAAGAAG